GAGAGAACGGCTTCTTCGAGGCTTTCGAGGCGTTTCCGTCACAGCAGGCGGCTGGAAGCGTTGCTGTCCGAAAGGGCGTCATTCTTGCGAACGGGAATAGCTGCATTCTTGCGTGTCCCTGCTATAACCCAACGAAGAAAACCAGCGTTGCCTTTAGCTCTTATCGCACCATTGGACACCAGCCCTCTTCCTATATTTTCTTCTGTCACAGGCGTGTTCGCTGACTGACGGTGAAGCAAGTACCGCGGGGCTTTGATTGTCAGAACCATTCCTTCGAACTTCTCCAGCACACTGCTTCCCCAGCTGAATGTGTCCCGTGAACAGATCGCAAAACACCAAGGACCAGTGATTCCATGCGAATGCCCTGATGGTGCCAAGCCAAATCTACAGATGCTATACAGCAATCCAACTCGCGAGCTGTGGTACAGAGTGACTTCGTCCTCCACCACAGAACTTCCATCTTGATATTGGTGTTCTGTGATGTGCTTCATGGGAACAGTCAAAATTTGTCCAACTACATTTGATGTCAGCCACTTGTCCCTGCTTGCTTCAATGGCTTCAAATAGTGCAGTTGGGTCAAGACCTCCATCAATGCTTGACACGTCGTAATCATACAAAGTTTTACATTTTCCATTTTCCCATTCAATCTTATAACGGCGATTTTGAACTGAACCTTGATGGTGTTCTACAAGTTCACGCACAGAGTGGATCTCTGCACTTATGCGTTCCGGCTGCAAAAGCTCTGGTTCAACAATTGGAGCTGGGGCACTGGGAATATACAAGTCCTGACTGTGCAAGGACATCACTGTCCCTTCATCCTCGTTCAGATCTGCATCCGTATGCATGTCAAAACAAACTTCTTCAGAAACCTCTGTCGTGCCCCCCGGCCAAATCCCGAACCCACTGTGGCCGGACGAAGTTGATTGGGACAAACAGATCGCGTGCTGGAGCACTTTGTCCCCTTGCACTACCACTGGACGCATGGCCTGCCATCACTACTGAAGTGCTGGTGGCAGCTTCTGCATCCTACTGCAGCTAAAATGAAACCGTTGGACGCCATTTGAACTTATAACTTGCATATCTTTGCAAGATAAAATATACTCCTACACGATAAAAGAAAAACTTTGAATGTAATACCGTACAAACACAATGTGATTCGTTACGTACATCTATATTTTATTATCATAGCAGATCTTCCATGGTTGCTTGCACCTACTTAAGAGATTTGCTCAGGAGTGATACATCACACGCAATGCAGCTAAGGGTATTCAGCATACACATTAACATACTTCCACTCCCCCACAAACGGCTAGCAGTACCAAAGCACAATGGCTTGGATGATTCACTCCAAAGATCCAAAGCAACAAGGGTGGTTCCAATTTTTGGAGACAAGAAAGGCAAAGACAGTGGTCCCAAAACTCAAATACGCAAGTTGTGTAATTGTGTATCTGCATGCAGTTGTACTGACTTGAGTGACGGAAGAGCTTGTGCCATCTGCGCAAGTCGATTCCATCAGTGCAGCAAGTCTAAGTCATGCCAAGATGCAGACATGTTAACACCAATCCTTCCATTTTTTTCCACCGCCTGCCTGCACATCCAATTTGTGCAGCACAAGTTCGATCTGCTCATCTGTTTGTCATTGGTCATAGCTTGACTACGTATCATTTGATATTAAAAGAATGTGATCACCTCACAGCTGTTGCTCACTGCTACTTTTTGGTGGACTGTATAATTAACACCCATCTAACACCTGCTGGACAGTTCTCCTTCACCACACAAACTAGTTTGGCTCAATCACACACTGCTTCTTCTTATTACTAAAACAAAAAGAAACATGAAAGCATGTCAAAGTGAAAGAGCCGAAAGCGCCGACTGCTTGGGCAAACAATACCTACCAACTCCGTTCTGCCTGCCTCAATCAATTCGCAAGTGGACACCACTCAAGGTTTTTACACGAGGTCTGCTAGTCCAGCGGATTCCGAGGGTTAGACATTTAGAGCTGGATCCAGCCTCCTTCCAAACCCCGTAACGAATCTGCATGACAGCTTCCAAACAAAGATTGAAGCACCTCTTCATACGCGGGTTGAAATAGGTAGCGGAAGCCGGATGAAAGGATAACAAATGGTGGCGGATCGCGGACGCGACCGCTACGTGTCCAGTGCACGAGAACATCGGAAAGAGAAACAAACAACACGGTCACCGTCGTTGCCCTACTTTACACGCATTAGACTTCGACAGGAAAAATGCAAACAGAAAGGCGGCTGAGGCCGAGAACGTGAAGATGTTGAACAGTTTGTTTCAATAGGGGTGAAACAATTGCTTCGACGCTTGAAAAGTTGGCAGGTACATCGAGCTGGCCAAGCTGGATATCTCATTTCACTGGTAGCTTCGTTGGACACAGTCCCAGTCGTTGGACACAGTCCCAGTGAAATACTGTGTCCCCCTGCCTCTTTCTTCTGCGTTGAGAGACTGGAAGTTAGTAGCGACACCACGAGCCGTTAGTAGCAAAACCGGGGGGGCCCCAGTAGTGTTCTGTAGGACTCTAAACCTTAGGCACAGGTGTGGACACACACATGAAGCCGCACTCGGCGCACTGACCCTTGCCTACAGCTGAGTAGCGTGGCCAAGAGTCCCGAGTAAGGTCAGAATTGATCTCGTGTAGCTGTCTCGCATTATTGCCGCCGTCGCCCAGACAAACCTTCACGACATCCTTCGTTTCGGCGACCATCACGATCCCTGTGGAGACACCATCCCCCCCAAAACAAGCTACAGAATTCGCACATAACCCTACAGCATTAACCGTCCTGCAACCTCTCCGACTTCTTCGCCAAGACAGCGTTGCAGCATAGCCGAGCCCCCCCCCCCCCCGGGACGTCTCTCTTGCTACGACCCCTGCCCTCCCACGCTCTGGGCCTCTCGACCGCCGCCGCGGCACCTTGGCACTGCCTGACACTGTTAACGCATCGCCAGCTACGCTACGTCTCCGTCTATCTACGTCCATCGCGTCCCACCCACTTCTCTAGCGAGTTACCAACAGCATCCACAACGTTCTCACTGGCTCACTACACACGACTTTTCGTACCTGCAGCACGACAAGGCTTCTTCAAACAAGCGCAGTCGCTAGAAGTACATATAGTCTCTCAACCACACATGATCTGTACGTGGCGGTCGAGTGTCTATGAGCGACGCATTGCGCCGTCGCTGGCACCGGCTACTGCATCCCTAACTCCCTGCGAAGGAACTCCTGGATGGGGTCAGAGAGCTCCGGTGGCACAAGGAGCCGATAGTAGGTCTGACGCACCACCTCCGCCAGTTCGCGCACAAAGATGCGCAGTGGGTGTGTCTGCCGAGTATAGATGCCCTCTGCGTCATAGGCGCCCGAGATCTCCAATTTGCCGAACTGCGTGCGCAGCGCCCAAGTTGATCCGGAAATCTTGATACTGAAGGTATTGTTCTCGCCAGGCACTGCTGTCAGCAACAAATGCTCCTTGCTCGAAGGCCCCGGTACGTCTGTCAACTTCCAGCTTGGATGCGGCTCATACTGTACCTCCATCTTCGTGCCCCACGTGCTCGTCTGCTGCCATGTCTCCAAAGATATCTCTGCGGGGCACCACACCTTCACCTGAGGCACTCCATCTGTCTTCCAACCCGCGAAGTGCTCGATGTGATCCAATCCAGCATGGACTCCGGCGGCTCCATCACCGCAGTACACTGCGCTCAACCAGTGCGGACTGCCCCCAAAGCTCCACAGCAACTGTCCCATTTTGGCCTGGTAGCAACGGTCAGTGTTGCCGTACACGGAGCGCGAGAGATTGTGATTTATGGAGCCTCTGATTGTGATTTACGAACTCTACATGGTCAGCCTATCTGTACTGTCGTCGAGGAACATCTGAACACCATTTGAAAACTACCACTATCTTCCAGTGGTGTGTTGAGAGTACCCGACTGTCAAGCTCAGTGTCGGCTCCAACCACTCCATGCTCGATAGCACCGTCACCCGGGGTCGGCGGCAGGGGGCGGTAGCCCTTAAATTATCAAGCACACTGTCCAGCGGCAACGTGGGAAACAAAATCACAGAGATGGACCCCGGCGCTTGCATAAAGATGTCGAACACATCACCGGGTTTGTGGATCCGGGATTGCCAGAGGCCAGGACAATTACATCTTTTCTTTTCGTGCCCCAATTTATTTCGTGCCCCGATCCACTCCCATCTCGACCGCGCCTTGGATCGGCAGCCGGACCTGCCAGGTGCTCAAGTGTCAGAAAGACAAGGGGCCACCTGGAAATCCAAACCACCAGAAGAGTGCCATATTGGAAAGTGGAACGGAACAACCATTCGTTTCTGGTTGTTTGGGGTTGCAGCGATCTAAGAACCAGTGACCGTGGATTGAACAACTTTTTTGTTTTTAATACATATCACCAGTGGAATTGCCGAGTATCGTGGAAAAGCAAGGGGTTCAGCTGCTCAGCTTCCTTTAGCCGCGTGCGCAACGAGCCCGGAACTGGCTCTTTCAAACATGTCGACAAAAGCATCGAACGGGTGCCGGGCTGGGGGCCGACCAAAAGAGCGAGCCGGGCGTCGCTCGCCCTCTTCAGCTCTTCACGCCACAAGGCCAAAACGCTTCGTCGACAGGACGAGACGGTCGCGTTGTGCGAACAGCGAAGGGGCCAACGGATCAACCGGAGATGTCAACACTTCAGCCAAAGAGTCGACGAGAAAAACGCATCCACAACAAGCTATACAGTGGTGCCTGTAAAACCAACAAGCTATATCACAACAAGCCATACGTTGCATCCACAACTTTGTTTGGTGGTTCTTACTTCAACGAGAAAAGCACCAAACCAAACGAATGAGCAAAACCAACACAAGAGACAAAACACGTGGGTCACCGTCCGACATTCGAAGCAAAACTGCGACCTGACTCACACTGGCCCAACGAACGTTATTACCCCCCCCACCCACCCCGACCCACAAAAAACTGAAGCCTTTCAATTGTTTTCACGAAGCGAAGATATACTAAGCACAATCAAAAAACATAAAGAAACGAAAGCTATATATAGTGTTTAACAAGTATACACATCCACCGACCCGTTCGCCTGTGCCCATGGAATGCCTCCGGAGGTTCTACCCGGCGAGAGGCCCCACGCAGTGTGGAGGGTAGGAATTCAATGCTTTAAAACAAGCTCTGCGAATGCACTTTCGTTTTGTAAGGGGCTTTCACCTGAGCATCAATATCCCGACTGACATCAGTTGCATCGTGTTCGTGCCCACCTTTCCTGAGTTGCGATGATATGCGATGAGACCTGCCGAAGTTGTCCTTTTTCTTGCCAGACCCAGTGGACAAACCTTCAATTTCTTCTTAAGCTTCCTTCTTTTCATCCTCTTTCCCAAGCAAAAACACGGGCCGAACCTGACCTCTGCCGCTCCTTCGCACCTTCACCCACGAAGCCCTTTCCCTTCACCGAAGAACCGCGGAAGGCGTTTGAAACCCTTCACGGCGCGAGGGGCGGCGGCTCGGTGTAGCTCGCCCCGCCTGCACGGCATGCACCGCCTGGACTGCCTGCATCATCTGGTTCAACGCTTCGCCGCGCGGGGTGGCCCAAAGACCTGGAACTGCCGTTCGCCGAGGGTGCGAGAAACACCTCCGTCCGACTCCCAGCGGAGGACATGGGGCGATTGGGGTATGGATTCGTTGGAAGAGGGAGCATTCCCCACCCCCACCCCACAGAGGGATTGTTTGGGCAGTCTGTCTGAAGCGCGCGGCTCGTCTTCCGACTTTCAGACATGTCGCTGCGGGAAGAACATGCAATGCAACATACCGCCACGGACCAGTGGTGGATGGACACCTCGAATCACTCCAAACAGGGCGGCCGTCATCATTCTTTGTCACCCCAAAGCAGGAGGCCATTGTTCGGCTTCTTTTGCTCCGCTGAAGTTCAGGACGTTCCTACAATCAGGGGCAGCGAACTCGTCACCATTCTTTTCCACCATTTTTCAAGTGGGTTGAATAATGGATTTTTTTTAGAGTTGACTCCCAGAGAATGTCTTTTCTTTCTTTGGGACACCTCCAAAGCACATTGTTGACAATGTCCCAAGAGTGTGCCCGGGCGGCGTTTTCCAACAAACAACGGCACCTACACCAGAACCGTCTTTTGCGAAAGCAAGGTGCGAAGACACTCTTCCACCTATTTTTCTTCCACCTTGGTGTCGACACTCATCTGGGTGTATATCGACACTCAGAGTTCGGTTCCGTACGACCTGGCTTTGGGTGTTCTTCGTCCAACCACCAGGTGTTCGCTCTCCGTTTTTGGGGTCAACGGCCTAGTAGAAACAAGAAGCTAGTAGTAACAAGTGCATTGCTTCTAGTAACAAGTGCCTTACTAGTAGTAACAAGAAGCTAGTAGAAACAAGATGAACTTTCGATGGGCCGCCGATCCGCCACTCCACGGCTGCACGCGAGCTGCGCCTCCGGTCGAAGCGGGAGAGCTCCTCGGAGCGAGCGAGCGACACGCGAGCGTGACGCGCGCGAGCGACACGCGTGGTGGATGGGGTCGAAGTGCTTTACAGCCGTCATGTGAGATGTGAAATCCTTGAAAACGGGTTCTGAAAGAACATTCACTATAGGACACAACTTGAAATCCTTGCATCTGGAGAAGATCCCACTGATCCTAGGATTTACGAACAGGCATTGGAGCAAACACCAGCTGGGGCAGATCCAAGATGCTTGGAGAGGTCCTTCTAACGCGCTCGAACAGCCTGCAAATGACTTTTAGACCACTCCACAGCAACTGACGAGCCATTTCCCCAACATCACTTGTTCTCCGTCTGTTCATTTCCAGTGGGGAAGCCATTCCCCCCAAAATCAGATCCCCAAGGCCAGTGATGGCCAGCCACGACCTGCTTTAAAAACGCTCTCTCGCCCTCCCATCTCCTCACACTGCCAGGAAGATAGGCATCTTCCTGGCGCCACATGCGGCGTCCTAGACCGACATGTTGACACCGCTATGATCAATCCCTGGAAGTCCTGCACCCCAAATGAAGGACATTCCTTTTGGATCACCTACAAAAGCAGTTTGAACATCGTCTTGGACTCCCAGGGTAATTACGACTAGTTACAAATTCAGCCATTCAAAAAAAACATCATCTACCGTCCAACACATCAGTCACCTCCATGGTCTATCCACCAACCCCAGCAACTTTCTCAAGAAAAGGGACCAGCTGCGGACATTCTCCGCAGCATGAAACTAGAACGAAACCCGTCCAAAGCCGCGACCCGCAAACCCTGACCTCTTCAGTGGTAGTTTCTTCCCGTGTTTTCCGCTTTCGGTTTTCGCTTGGAACCGAAAACGACGACGCCGTAGGTGGGGCGACGCTTCCCAGGCTAGACAACGAAAACACATGGCTCCTTGGGTCCTTTCTGCCAATCCGTCCGTTCCAGGCACCAAAATAGAGGTGGACCAACCTATCGCATCCTCCCCATTGACATTCGGGATCGGACCCGAATCCTCGAACGGTCTGAGGTTTCTCACCAATCCCGAACCACCATGGTTTTTTATGGTCTTTAGCAAAGAACTCTTTGCTAAGCACCATCTATAGTGCAGTCGGCCACTTTCTTTCATATCTGCATGACGTGTCCGAAAGTAGCCGATCGCAAGAAAAGAAAGCCTCCACTCTATAGTGGATCTTCAACAGTCTGTTAGCTAGGGGTTTGGCATGTTGCAAGTACAACACACCAAGGTCGATGTGAGTTTGGGGGGGCCTTCAAAGATGATTTAATGAGGTAAAAACAAGACAGGACTACTAATTCTCGAGACAGCGAACATGACATGTTACACTTAAGGAAACATAGATGTCCAATCGCTCGCTGGATGAAAAGAATTACTGCGTATTATGTGTTTTAGACTGGACTGTTGCTGACGCCTGCGCTGCGGGATCACGGCTCCAGCCTGCATTCTATACAGGTGGATGATCTAAACGCAAGGACCAGCATTTGGCTGGAAACAGTTGCTTGATGCGTTGTGTCACCACTCCAAGATCTCCAAGTAGCCACCGTAGGAGCTGGCGGCATGGCCTTGAGCACACGGTGCGGCCGCTCCGCTTGGAGCTCCAAGCGGCTGAGCTCCGGGCGCAGCGCCATGACAGTTGCAATCTCGATATGCATCTTCTCCAAATAAGCCAAATTTATTGCTTCGCAGATCTCGATCTGCGGCCTGGAAGCCGCGCCGTCTCCAGATCAAGCGCCTGGAAATGCGATTGGCCCTATACTTTTTTGGATTATTCATGCGCTCCTCTGCGCTCCACGGCGTGAAGATATACATTGAGTCTCCTGAAAACTGCCAGTGCTGACATCCCGCTCATCCGCGCAGCTATGTACCATCAGGGTGATTTTGACACCAGCTTCCCTACCGTTCACCGATACGTAGCTGTGAACATCAATCAGCTTAGTTCGTCGAGCTGCATGGAGCTGTGTCGTGTTTGCTGGCACCACATGCCAATCTTTTACACCTGCAGAGTATAGACCATGCAGAACTGGCCGCAGTAGCAGGGATCTGACAAGTGATAGCACATCGGGCAAACTAATTGATGTCTATACGGACTCACAAGATGTATATGATCTTATTCTGGCTATTGCGTCACGTCAAGCACACTAAAACCCCAGCAACAACAGTATGCCACTTGGGACCTAATCCAACAAACTCTGCAGGGGTGGCGACTGCATTGCATCATAATCCATAAACTGAAATCGCATCGTAATCCGAATGATGCCACCAACATATTTGATCTCTTTACCATTATTGGTAATGACTTAGCGGACCATGCGACTAAAGAATGCCGTATCCATGACCACCCTGACTTTCATAGTTCTTGCTTGGCCACACTGAGCTACCGTAAGCAAGCTGAAAGGACATACAACAGTGTCTCCAATGAATTAGCTAAAGAACGGCTGAATTAAGCACCTATTCCGGTCATGGGTCACGACCTCGCGTGAAAGCTAGGCGTAAATCTCTATTGAACAATCGATCTTATCCTGTGGGAAATCATCTATCAGGATATGCCGGATATGGAAATAGAGGTTCGGAGTTTGGTCAATCGGTGGGTCAAGATGAAACGGCGGATTTGTAGCAAACGTATCAATATGCATCCTTAATGTCTTCATCATGATATCTGCATGCGGGAAAGATGGCCGGCGGGCAAGCCCATATTTGTTTGGTGGGTGCAAACCCAGCGATAACAAGGAGGAACATCCTGTTTGCATATATTTACTTGGGTAGAAATGTAGTGCCCGACAGCGTTTCAATATGCTTAACAACAAGACGAAGCGCCTCCCCTGGACACGGATGGATCGTTTGCTTTCAGGCAGGATTTGAATTTCAGGTGCCATATAGTGGAAAGGTCGCGTGTGCTTTTGGCCAGGGACTCGAAGAATTTGATGGCCCGTGAGTTGGTAGGCTATGGCCAGCTTAGACCAAGAGATGCCAGGGCTGCTTTGCTTTGGGCCATGTCTAAAGGCACAAAAATTGATTTAAATCCATACTCTGGGGGCTCATTGTTATCAATGACATGCAGACCTGGCACTGACTTATGTGTGAGAACTTGGATATGCGCGGCAAAAGTATTGCTCGGGGCATGGAGGTTTTGCAGTTCTTTGACTTCTTTGGGTTTCCTGTGCTTTGATTGTGGCATAATTGAAGTCTGCCAGGTAATACCACAGGTGGTTCACATACATACTGCATCGGAGCCACGTGCCCGTGATAGTGTCTTACTCACACTCACACCATGACTCTAAAATAGAGGTGTAGAAATGGCCCATGACATACTCTTCTTATCTCTGGAAACACCCACCTCACACTCACAGGGACTGCGTCCGTGAGCACTCGCCTGCGAGTTTCACGCGAGTCCCGCGTCCGCGAGATCGAGACGCACAACCGAAGCGAGCCGTTTGACGAAAGTCAACCGTTCTTTTAATGGTCTTCACAGAAGGCGAGGTCCGGGGATTCCGGTTTTGAGGGACGGGGAACAGGCTGGAGAAACGGAGTGTCGCAAGAGAACAACGACGTTCCAGGTTCCAGGTCCCTCGCCTGTGGCTCGTTCCGCGCTGAGAGCTGAGGCCTGAGGGCGCTTCTGAAGCGCCAGGTGATTGGGCATCTTCAAAATGGTTTTACATCTCCATGTGGGAGGGCTTTATATGTTCGATTCATCAATAGTCTTTCCAACGGTGCAAGCTGTCAGTGTTTTAATCTATAAACCTTATAAAGCCTAAAAGGCAAACCATTTTTGCCTGGTTGGAAGAATCCAGGTACCACCCAGGAACTGGGGGGTCTATAAACGGGTGCTGCTGGCAAGTGGCTGTATTTCGTGCCGTGCCAAGGCTTTCGTATCAGCAAAGAAGTTCTTGGCGCTGACTTGCACGTCATGAATGGAATGCAAGCTCCTACTCCAGGACCATCCGACCATCTTTTCGGTTTTGTGGCTTGTGGAGATCCCTCTTCGTAAGTGACTTGGTCGGGTCGAACCCAGCTTCCGGTGATGTAGTAGAAGGGATCATCGGTCCGTTTGTAGAGCCCCGAAGGTTCTCTAATCTTTACCTGACTGGTGCGACTCGTAGGGAATGAGAGAATGACCTTTCACTATAGATACCATAGGAATCCATAGGATCCAGCCACCCTCATTCTTTTCTAAGCACCAGTCAGTGACGTCGCCCTTGACCGATCGCAGACGAACCGGTCTGGTCGTCGGACCAGACTCGAGGAAAGCCCCCGCGCCCAGCCGAAGTGACACCAGTCTGAAGCAGGAGATTTGGCACCAAGTCGAACATCCAGCGCAGAAGAAACACGTCAGTTCTCCCGCCGTTCGTGGCAAATATTGGTCCCTTCTCGTTTGCAAGAAGGTTGCAACCCCCAAAACAAACATTTCAGCAAATCAACCAAAACAAAATTATGTCTGGGTGGCCTGAAATGCCATTGCGCGCGTCTTCTCATGTCGCCGACTCCCGAAAGTAGCAAACGATGCACGGGGTTCACATGCGAATTCCCGCGGCTTGCGGCTCAGCCGTTGCAAACAGCTGAAGAAACCAAGGACCTAATCTCTTTGGGCAGCACTCATGCAACATGTTGATGAATGGTTTTACCGTTTACATTCCCTTGATAGACAGTCTTTCGTTGAATGTATTCATGAACTGCATCCAGCTTCTTCCAGCTTCTTCCGTTTGTTTTCCACTTTGGAGTACCAGGCCGTGACCAAACCAGGCCCAGGCGCCGAAGCTCCTCCGTCGCGGCCTCCGCCTGAGGACTGGAAGAACCGTGGGAGGCCAAACGGATTGGAGGCCAAACCTGAATCTCCGCAGAAACCTCCAAATGGTGACCAGTTCTGGGTACAAAGTGAAAGAAAGAAGATCTGGCAAGATTATCCCTAGCCTTCTAAGAAACAAGTTGACCTGGTTTTCTTACTGTAAAGCACCTTGGTCAAAGAACGCCACTGCTCAATGCTCTTACTCTCTCGGGATCGTTCCCACGTCTCCACGGTCGACTCCGACTCCGACTCAGAGTGACCCAACGGACCGCATGCAGGCAAAAGAGGCATGCAAGTGGTCGAGTGCGGTTCAAACCTTGTAGACCAGTTGGGCACCAGGACCGTTGGGCACCACCATCCTGTCTGGGTCACCTGGCTGGACTACCCTTCCACTTGTCTTCTTGGTCGGATGGTCCAGGCGGTTCGACTGTTGAACAAGTTGGAGGCTGCGGGCTTGCGAAGTTGAGGCGCTCGGGCATCCTTCACGCTTCCATGCTGGGTCGGGGCGACTCATACCTCGAGGTCTACCATTTTAGGCCGGAAAAAGGAGGATCCGCCCGGCAGGTGAGTGAGTGCTCGGCGAAATCAGCTCATTTCAGGGCAGATTCCTCAGGGCGTCCTATTTCTGGAATCCGTTTCAGATAAAGACAAGCCTTAGCCTTTGGCCTCGCTGCAGGCGGTATGGCATCAAGAAACAGCGGTGGAGAGTGGAGTGTTGAAAAAAGTGCAGGTACAGGTGGATGATCAGTCCACCCTTCCCTCGTCATACCGTAGCTTCGTTGCGTACGGTGGGTATGACGAGCCGTACGCCCCTGCAACTTGAAAAGTGGTACGTCAAACTCCTGGAAACGGAGGGTGCACACACACACACACACACGCTTATAGAAATGCGTGCTGATGTGAATGCGGTGCCACATGCCAGCCTAAGTGCAAAACCTAAGAAACCAGGACAGGGGTAAATACGGTGATCCAAAATTCCTCAAAACCTGCACAGCCTCCAACTTCAAATCGGCAATGAACGACTACGTCCCAGCTGGCAATATGTCGCTCGCAAGATGCAACGACCACTTTCTCAGATACAAGCACGCTGGGCTGACCTCTTGGAGATTCAACGCGCTGTTGCCCAGACCCAGCTCCCTCGACTTGAAGACTTAGTACTGAGTCCTTGGACATTTCCCTCTTCCCATTTGAACTCACCGGATTTGCCAGACATCAAAATCGGTTGCTAGCGGCCTCATGACGCCATGCGTTTTGACCTCGACTTGCACCCTTTGCTACAACGTTAACCCGAGCCCCCTTCCACCCGATTTGATTCCCTCTCATCCCCTTTCAAGTACACTTTCACATTGTCCACGGATTGCTGTCGTGATTTCCTTTTTCGTGTACTTTTGGCTCAAATCTTGCCCCTTTCTCTTTTCACTCCCATTTGTTTGCAGCTGCAGGCCGGTTGAGAACCAATACAACATGGACTACGTTGACCGCTTCCACGCTCGCAACCATGGACAAGTCTTCTCCGCTCTTCCCCATGAAGAATGGACCTGTCGTGGTCTTGGCAAGGTCAAAAATTGGTTCTATCGCGCGTGGTTCCACGAAAAGACGATCGCCTGGGATCACACGGATGTGGACTACTATAAGCACACCAATAGCTTTTTTCTTGACCAACACCCCTACGCGAGTTGGTCGGACTATCACTATCGCGTGTGGCACATCCGTGGTTGGCAGCTGGTCTTGGGCTACCCCCAGTCTCCCGTTTGGGATGCTTGTGAACGATGGGAGCAGGCCCTTTACGAAGAGGAACAACAACTTCTTGCCCAACAGCAACGGTCTTCCAGACGCTCATCCCCGTGGCGTCAAACGCCAGGCTGTCGACAATCTGGAGCATGAGCGCGTAGATCTTTTGATCCAGAGTATGATCCGACGCTTCACCGAAGTGGACGTCTCTGGGAATCCTGCACTTCGCCATTTGACTCCTGAAAAAACAGCATCAACTGATTGATGGCTTGGTCCACAATTTGTCCAGCTACCAAGATGAGCTGCACGCTGTCAAGGCTGTCACGGACAGCGGCCCACTTCATTCCCCTCCACGTCGATAACCCTCTCACACTGCAGGACCATCTACCCAAGTTGGCGTTGATCTGCCCTTCTCTCCTCCTGTTGCAGGTGTGGAGGTGCCTGTCCCCGATTCGGGATCTATGTCTTTGACGTCCTCTTCGACTTCACCGCCATCTACATTGCTCCCCCCTTACCGTCCCACCAACGAGGATCACACCTGATAGAGTAGTCCTTTGTTAGGAGGCCGTACGGGCTTCCCATCGTCTCCTTGAAGTTTCCCAGTTCTCACCTTGAATTTCTGCGGCGCCGTGGATCGAAACACAGTTTCCAACCTACTGCACCATGCTACCCTATCCCTTTCCCTTTTATGTTTTGCCTGTTTTTGTGCTGTTGTTCGTGACGTCATTACTCCGCCATCACTTATCTGATTGATACTGCAGCCATTTAGCTTGAGTTGCCAACGACTCCATTTCGGGCATCCACCACGCCTACCACTCACGGCCTACCAGACCTTCCGTGAGACTCACCGGTCTTCGTAGCGTTCTTTTCACCCATCCACTTTCGTCCGGAGCTTAGGAAAAAGAATGCCTCCCTTCGGGAGGCGTGTGTGTGTGTGACCCTTGAAATCACAGGGCTCCTTTTGTCCTGTGCTGCTTGCTTTTTACTTCGGTTGACAGCAGGGGGCAGGAGCACCATTGCAAGTCTCCTGCCAACAAAGACACTTGCAACTGGTGGTGATATACCAGACCTGATCAGTCTGGCGTACCTGCAGTTTTACCAGAGTCAATTCCTCGGGGGCCCTGCTTGTAGCTAGAACAAGACGTCCAGCCTTTGCATCGGTTTGTCATCGGCAGATGTGCATAGTCGCTTTGGATGTGCATTTGAGGCTGAGTAGTAAGTCATCATCATGGGCACTCCAATCATCATCCCAACGCGCCTTGGAGCGAGGGGGAGGGGAGTGAGGGTTGGGGGCATGAGAGTGGGCGTTGGCGGTTTCGAGGACGTGGGGTGGGCGAGGTGGAGCCTCAAGAGAACAAGTCGTCCCTGTTCAAACCGTAGGCTCGAAGCTCATCGATGTTGATGAACATTCCGTCATATTGAACTTGGCTAACGGCTGTGCGGCACTTGAAGCGGCCATCGCCCTTGTTGCGGATCACATCGAAGAAGTGGCTGGCGAGGGCATCACAGGGCAGTCCCCCGGACCTGACCACGAAGTGCTCAAGGCCCCTGTTATAGCACTCGCCAGCCACAAGAATTGGCGGCCAGACTCACGTCCGCCGTGCTGTCCGTGGCCCGGATAGAATAGAAGCCAAAGCTGGGGAGGTGATCGCCATCCTTCTGATCCTTCCATGAGCTGGGGCGAATGAAGCCATCCGACAAGATGACTTGCCGAAGACAAAGACCGGGCGCCGATCCATGATCCCTGAAACTTGGGAGAGGTGTTGCAAGTACTGTTTCATATGGTTGTTCCACTGAGCAGCGGGTCCTCTTTTGAAAGAAGCCGGTAAAAGGCGAAGAAGCTCGTTGTAGACCGTGAGGGTCAACCCTCGAGGCATGGAGGGCGGTGCCGGACTTTCTTCCCAACTCAGTGGACGATCACGATCATCAACCAAAGCTTGACGATGGGGCTTGATGGGGCTTGACTTCACACTCACACACACAGACAGCCCTCCCAAAACACACAGACCTCACTTCCCTGCGCTTTTCACTTTGCTCACCAGATCCCAAGTGATCTTCGGACCCAGCAATTGCACGGTTCCGCGCGGTTTCGCGCTCGACGCGCCTTGCGAAACGCACCTCCCACAGGCCATGGCATGGGCGTCTCGTGTGGGGATCCTGTCTCGGCGTCTCGGCGGGTGCGTCACGTGGACCGTGCAGGAAGACGGTGCCACGGAGTTGCGCTGCGAACGGTTTGGAGGGAGCGGGAAGGGCTGTGAACGGAGCGTCTGGGTGGTGGACGGGTCCAGGTACTTTTGAGCTGCGGCCATGTGTGGCCCGCCTGCTGTGGCCATCCATGCGGCGAGGAAACATGTTCCAGAAGTCACATGGAGTTGGGTGGTGTGAAACGTCCCCAAGTTAGTGGAGTAGCTGGACACCCTTGACCTCCATTAAGCAACGAACTGCGGGTGTGCATGAGTTCATGTGAAACTGGAGTCTTGGATGAAACACAGGAGCTCCTCCAAGGGGTCCATGTCAGTCTATGTTTCATGGACAAATTGGTGACCTGTTCGAGGGGCACCTGGATCAACTCCTGGATCAACTCGTCTCACCCCCCCCATGCTCTGTGTTGCTGAGCCCAGTCCTGACCCTAGGCTTCCAACCACCTTTAATTGAATGGCCTTTACCAAAGAACCACTGTTTTACCAACGTATTTTACACTGTTTAAAGAGTCTTGAACGCCCAGTTCCGAGAGCTTTGCTCCAAAGAAAAAGTCTGCATTTATCCATACGAGACCTTTCCCTCATCAAAAGGACCATTGTCTACGGGGTTATGCTGAAAATAGAACCCAATCAAATGCCTCTTTGAACACATCATGATGCGCAAAGTGCACGAGTTGGCACTCAAGTCCTCATCTCAAAAACACGGTTCAACTCAAGAAAACGGTACCTTTGCGTGGAAAACACAAAGGCACCCCCAGGCAACGATAGATGGGCGAACTGGGCGAACCACCCCCAAAACATCAAACAACCAGCCGCTTCCGTGGCCACAAAAGTGGTTCGTTCTACTTTTCTGAACAGCGGAGCGAAAAGCGCCGCAAAACCAACCCCGGAGCCACTTCGGCGTCTCCTTCATAGTGCACGGCCTTTTGATTCTCCACACGCCTGGGAATCGAAAGCGGGACTCCACCCGCCGGCTACAAACGGGCAAACCTTGGCGGAGCATCCGTGCACGACCACAGGGAAGACTCCAAGGCCCACCCACCATACAGATCGATGCGGTGTCCAAACGTCGTCTTCTGTCGAGAAAAACACCAAAAGATACCCAGACCGCTCCGTTCACAACTTGACCGGCCCCTCAAAACCATAGAGGATTGGTGAGAAGGTCCAGACCGACCCGAGGAAAACTGGGTCCCCTCCCTGAGTTCAGTTGTGGAAGGTGCGGTTCCTTTGCGTTGAACCACTAGACTCGTGGAGATCCACGTGGTTCTCAGACCTTGCAAGCAGCTGATCCGCCAGAGATCCCTGCGATACCGCTTGAGGGCTGTCACGCCTCGGTTCCTTAGCCGCCAACCGTTCCGCCGCAGCCGCTCGTTCCGCCTCGCCTCAAGATCACCGGCGCGGAGGTCACGTAACGGGCCTCTGGCATGCTGTTCCCCTGGCCGGAATTTCTGCCGGCGCACACCAAGGACACCACGAGGTGTTGGGGAACCGTGCGGCAAATGCAGGGTTCCCAGCTTCTTTTCATCCATCTGTGCTGGTCTTTTCGCCTTAAGACCGACCAAGCAGGGTCATGATGTATAGTAATTCCCGTCCTGCTAGAAGGCTTCGTACCACCCAGACGGCGCAACGTCCCCAGATGCCCCCGCCGCCCAACCGTGCGGATGAGAAAGTCCGATCCCTTTAGGCCCGACTTCGGAAAACATTTTTGTCAAGAAACTGACTTCTCAGCTGGTTCCGTCTGATCCCCACATCATCTAGATGTTTCCTGAACATTCAATCCCCGAAGTTGTCAACTGAAACAGGGAGCCAGCTGAGCCAGGTTTCCCACGAAATCTGACTGGGTCTAACGTGCAACACCTACTTCCTTTGTGAAATTGCTCTAAGTCAGGGGAGACTCCAGCTTTGTCAGAGCAGTGCTGAGCCACAAAAGCACCTAAGGAAGTGACCTCCAGTACGACGAGGCTTGAGCCGGTTGCTTCCCATCGGATCTGCCTTGGATGGTCCATGGTGATCAACACAAGTGAAATGAAACCAGTCACCAGGGGTCACAATGAGGCTCTTCTAGTCTCTAGGTGAATGTAATGGGCACCCCTATTCCAATAGGCACCCCTTTACAACTCTTGGCATTCACTTATCCATATTTTCCCCAGCCCGTGTGGACACACTTAGTGCCTACGGTAAGGGAAAAGCAGCTGATGCTTAGATCGCTGAAGCGCGCGGGCGTGTCCGGCTAATTCGCTGCTATTTACAGTACGTTCATGCCTCTCGACATCGTCAATGTGCATTTCGACTGCGCAGGCTCGCAAAATCTGTGCGCCGGCGGCGGGTGCTTCTAGCGGCTGCGCTCTCGTCGTGGTGCCGTGCGCATTTTCGCTGGTGGTCACTTTTCGTGGCAGGTGCAAGGCAAACCTCGTGTTTTCGTGGTCCAAAGTCGACTTTTCGTGACAGGTGCAAGGGATCGGAGCTGTTTTACTTCGAAAAGCAGTTTTCGTGGCAGGTACAGTACTTTGGACATGGTGGTGATCTTCGACGAGCTCTGATTTCGTGACAGGTGCAGTGAATTGTGACTTCTGGAGATATCACCAACAACGGACCACACACCACAGTCAGCTCCAATCCCAAGTCATCAAAAACGAACATCTACCTAAGAAACAGGCTTGTCACAACGAAAGTGAATGCATTTATGGTGGAGTCACTGAAGGCACCCTTGTTACGCTCATCAGCTCGATCACGTTGTGCAGCCAACCTGCATAAGTTCAGCTGAGTTTCCGAGCACAGGTAGGGGGTGGCTTTTGCAGAATGCGCATCTTGTGCGAAAGTCCAGATTGCCCGGATCAATGTCCGCGCTTCTGATTGCTTGTGACAGCACCTTTGCGCAGCCCAGGACATGATCTCCCGTGACACCCACCGAAATCCACAGGAAGTGCGCCCCAGACTTGGCCACTCGACTCTGAGGCTCGGCCTGGATGACCTTCTGCTCCCGCAAGGAGGTCCAATCTCGGAGCGCTGGCGACGCATCGCGATGAGTCTCGGGTGACAGGAGAACTCTGAATAGGACTTCTGGACCCATTCATTTAAGTAGTTTCAATACGGATTTTACACTGCAAAGCCAGGTCGTTCCACTCTTTTCATGGTCAAACGGAAGTCGCCTGGGGTTTGACTGGGTTTTGGAAGATCTGGCTATGCCCACATTGATCCTTCGAATTTCCCCAATTGATCAGTAAATATGCTAGTTGGAGGATGTAGGTAAGTAGAGAGTGGTTTTGAAACCCCAGACCCCAAAGACCCGAGTGGGTCTTGGTCCGAATGTCTCCAAATGAGGTCGCGGCTAGGATTCCAACCGCTTGAATAGCCTGAATCCCGAACCCCCATGGTTTCCGGATGTTCGACTACCAAACGCAGGTCAGCACTGCAAGAACTAGGTCAAAACAATTGGAAACCTCATGACCTTCCGTTCTGTGGTTTTGGACACCCCAGACCTGCACCTCGACTAAAGAGACCGTCTTTATAAACCAAGAGACACGGAACAAACAGAAGGACCGTCCGTTTGCCAGCACCAGTGGAGGTTTTTGGGAGACCCCAATTCAGACCGCGACAGACTACGAGGCCAACCCCAAAACAACGACCCCGACAGACTATGGCAGGTCCTGGTATACCAAGCACCAGTCGGCTCCCCCAAACCCACCAGTGGGAAGGTCGACGAAGGTTGCTGGACGACGATTTCGTCGGACCTGCTTTTAGCCCACACCGGAAAGGAACACCACCCCTTTGGTGCTTGGGGGTGTCTATACTGTAGGGATTCCAACCACGATTGATTTAACCGTTTTCTTTAAGTAGAACGGACAACCATGGTTTTACTGAGGACACCACAAAGCTAGGTCTGTCCCGAACTCGTTAAATGATCCAAAGCCGAAGGCCAACGGGTTTGTAGGTTTTTCGGTGTAATTCGTCGGCCCGGCCTTCTGTGCCCCCTCCATGGGAAGCCTCTTCCAGCACCCAAAGGGTGGTTATGGAAAATATATATAGTCAGGGTCAGGGTCTATACACCACCCTTTTTTCGTGGTGCTGGTTAGTCGGGCTTTCAGCGCCCGCCCGCTACAGCGCGCGGTTGGTCGTTAACGCACGCGCGGTCGGTCGATCCGCACGGAGCCGGGTGCGCCGAGCCGATCACCTTTCTGGCACGGTGGGGTGTGGTGCCATCCACATAGCCTGGCGCCATCCGAACGTGTGGAGAACCTCTCGACGTGGAGACCCCGATGACGGAGGAACGCCTCTCGACGGAGGAACGCCGTTCGGCGAGCTCCCAAACACAACACTGGACCCGAAGCCTTTAGAGGGATCGGACCCTCAAATCCCTATACTATATGGCTGTTTGGAGCGTCTGGGCTGTTCAGAAAGACCCCTGAAGCTCACTCACGGGTCACTCACGGACACCTCTGAAATTGGGAACCCCCGGGTGGAAGCGCTTCGTCTTCTGCCTGTTCTTCGTTTTCTGCGGGCGCGCGCGGTTTAGTGGAGCACCGCCAAGGGGTCCATCATGCGTCGCCCGATTAGGAGTACCCTTGGCGAGCTTGAACAAGTTAAGAGTTTGATAGAGCTTTCAAAGGGGAACATGAAAGACTTTTGCTAGAGTTTTTGGGGGTTGGGGTTTTGCACAGCCTATTGGATGAGGAGGGAGGAAAGATCCCATATGAGTATACATTGGAAGCACAGATTGCTGCTGGGAAGGATGGGACGAGCAAGCAGAATGGTCAGAATGATTGATGGATGAGAGGATCAGCATGGGAAAAGGGTGGATCAGAAGATCAGTTTCACCATGGACCAGAAGATATTAGATACTGGCCAAAAAAAGAAACTTAACTATTTTTTTTATTTTCTGGGGCAGCTGCGATTGATTGATAGGGGGAGGTTTCTGCCCAGAAAAAAATACATATTAGAGGGATGTCAAGGTGGAAATCCAGGTTCTAAATTAGTTTAGTATTGGGGGGGGGCCGAGCTGGGATCCCCATTCTATCTATGTTTTTTTTCAATTTTTCAGGGGTGCGTGTCCTCTATAAAATGAATTCACCAGGGCTTGCTCCACAAGAGCACAGTTACATAGAATGGTGATCCCCAGGGTAGATATTGACAATGGTTAATATCTACAGGGCCCTCCAAAAAACGTCTGTAGAATGGTTCACCCAGGCAAGTGATCCTTTCTGCAAAATTTTCATCGAGCAAAATCACTGGCTTTTAGCTTTTGAAGGGCGCCATTTATAGACTAGAGATTTCACCGGACAAACGCTGGAAAAAAACAACATAAACACACATTGTTTTCTACTTTAAGAGTATGTTTGAAAAAGGGATCCACACAATCCCCCAATGTCCTCAACACATGTCTCCATGAGGGCTGCACACAATGAAATGGGATTTCCATATGGACTTCCCTTGATTATCCAAATTGCTCCTATCTTTCCAAACATGTTGCCAGATACCCCTAGAACCCCCTAAACTATCCTAGACTCCCCAAGAAACCCGTAAAATATCCTGCCTGTAGGCATTACAGCTTCGAATAAGATGGTCTAGCATATTCTAGGACCATGTAAGTAGAGCCGTGCACCCCCATTTTATAGACAGCAAATAGCAAATCCAAGCAATGCCCTCCATTTTACAGAGATTTAAAGGGATAAACATGCTCTGAAAAGACACGTTGTTTTGTACTTTAAGAGTTTATGAATGAAAAAGGACTCAAGGAATTCCAAAACAATCCAATTGTGTCTCTATGTAAATCTCTATAAAGTGGAGACCCCTCAAATTTCCTCAACACATTTCTATCAAATAGGCTCCGTGAGGGCTGCATACAATTGTATGCTTTGAAATGGGACTTCCATAGATTTCCCTTGATTATCCAAACTGCTCTTATCTTTCCAAACATGTTTCCCAGATTTTCCCAGATACCCCCTAGAACCCCC